AGTGAAACTTTAATTCATACCTTATTTAATGTATAAACTCATATGAAAAAACTAAATTTTCACAATTACTATATTAATGTTTAACGTGGAGTACATTATTTTCCTCGTCTATTGCGGCTTTACCAGAGAGAAGTAGTAGTGGATTCCCATAGATCTTGTTGGTGAGTTAGAAAAATTTCACCGTGGACTCTCGTAACAATTCATTTCTCTATTGTTATCTTCGGCAATTTATAACTAATGCTAGTAGAATAGCGCGGGTGCGTATCATTTGCTCATTTACGACAGTACGTTTGTGGAGTCTTTCCACCAATCATGGCTTGACTCTTTGGATTTTCTGTTTTGACTTTATGGAAGTATAAACTTTCAATATCCATTATTGATCGATGTAATTAACTGTCAATTGTTGGATTTTTATCGTAAATTTCCGCCGAAAAATAATAGAAAAAATGTCTTCCTACAGCTGCTATAGGAATACAATTCGACTAGGTATGGACAACAGAATATTTTCTGTATAAATTGTCATTTTTATTTGTTGAATAGACGCTTTATCCTACCTACATATCGGTAATCGCCTATCGGAGCAGTTAGAGAAGCTCGTAGCCATTGAAAGCCGTCCAGTCAAATGGAGAAAATAAAATGCTCGTTAAGCACGAATCGTTAAGCCGAGGATGCCGCGCATTTTTCAGGTCGAGTTAGTATACATATAGCCACCGCCTATAGTAGCAGCGCTAATAGCGTTAGTAATGGATAGGTAATACGCGTGGGCAGTACCGTTTAATTTTCAATCGCTTTGAGCCCAGAAGCCACATGGAAGACGATTTCTCTCATCCTTTTTTCTTCCTAAAAGAATATTAGTTTTATCACCTTGATGATCAGGGGATGATTTTATTGCCGATCCCGTATGCCGTGTGGGTAGTCAGCCTGGTTTAATGAGCCACCCCTCTACTCCCGAGCGAACCACGAGTTTCCTGCACCCTTCGTTCATCTCCGCCAGCGAACGGCTCCAGTCCTGCTCCTCCACCCTCACAATTACGTCGCGCGTGCCTTGACTAGAGAAACATATACCACAAGTCTCCGTCCCTCTCCTCCACCTACCCCTTCAACCCGTGGTCCTCTTCGCCATTCCCCCTTCTATTCGCCAATCCCCATTCCCAGTCTCGTCCCAAACCCCGTAACCTCGATTCCCATTCCCTACGTTCTCCTACCCCAAACCTCGATCCCAGCCCACGTTCTTCAGCGTGCCAGATGCTGCGGAACTAAACTAAACAACAAAGGTTTCACATAACGCCCGTTATCATGGCTCGTGCGTGCTTCGGAAAAATCAAAAAATAAATTAGTACGGATACTATTCGCAAAAATCGTAATCGTGACTCGGTGTGCAAGAAGTATTTATTACTATTGGCTATCCTGATATAACAAGGATACAGTTACGTATATAATCTCAAAACTAAATTCGCAGACGCTGTCATAAAAATTGATAAGAAATCTTTGACTTTTCTCCTGACTCGATATATGTTTCGAATATATAATGTATACAAACTATTTATTCTTTGCATTTCTCACATGTAAAACAAGTCTGCCATAAAGTGGATACATTACGTTTGACTTTTATCCAACCAAGTCCTCTACCACCAGCACCTTCTCGTACCGACATACATATACACAAAATTTCCCTTTGAGGCTACGCTGAATCGGCTTTAACCAGTGACTATTTGGCAAATATAAACTGCTTCAAGATAAACACGTATAAATAAATATAGAGAATCTATGGTACATTATCTGTAGTTCTGGATTTAACATTTTTGATAGACAATTTTATATACGTAGCATATTTATACGGCAAATTAGCATATTGAGATTCGCTTTTTATAAAATCCCTAGGATTCGCATGAGGTTCGTTCCAAGAGAAATATCACGTTTACTCGCGTGTCCTACACTGCTTTTTTCTAATGGAGTCATGACTATAAGAAATGAGAGAGTAATCCGCACCGACTACGTAAATTTAATTATATTCGTTAAGAGGGACCTCCATAATTGTATCTTTTTTTTTAGAAAGAAATCATCGTCGATTAGTGCTAACGTTTTTTATATATACTGTATGTATGATAAATGGCTATTGTTTCAAATATTATATAAAGTATTTTTCACGTAGGCAATGTAAATATTTTATAACAAAAGCTATACAGATTTAGTGATTTATTGATAGCTACTAATGTACCTTTTACAAATCGTGAATATCCCATCGATTGAATGTGTAATTACTATTTTCAATGTGGTTATCCACTTATCAACGACATATTTATCAATGGAGAATTCACAAGCACAGAACAATAGGATATTGGGGATAAAAGCGAACTAGATTACCGAGTAAAAAGCAAAGTCAGTCCTATTTTTCCCGTCCCGAAAGGGAATATCTACCAGAAGCACTTAGGGAATGATTTTTAAATCGAATCAGCCATCTTCTTGGCGCGGTACGGCGAACGAAGAAGCTACGGTACCGTAAGAAAGTGTTGACGATGGAGACAACAATGGCAAAATCTAATGGCACATGGGTGCCGCTGATGCAGCAAGAAATCTTGCTGTACATACAGTGTCGACGTCGCGGTCCGCCATCACTGACCACGAACATTGACCATAAGGCTTGGAAGTTATTAATTACACGTGTTTTGACATCCACTCAACGAAATATGAACCCTCGTTCACTCGTGCAAAGCATGCCCCGTGAATTCGATTGGAAAAAGAGGGACGTCCTGTTTTTTGTCAAGAGTAGCTGACACCCTCTGGCCTTCCCACTGGGTTCCTTTATTTTCCACGAGTGACAACAAGCGGCTGTACCAGAAACGTCAGAACTTTCGAGAAACACAAGACCAGGGTGAGCGTAGAAAAGGATGAAAAGGAGAGGATGAGAAACCGAGAGTAAAGAGGAGCCAGTAAAGGTGGAAGATGGAAAAAACATGGGGGGATATAATGCTGAAAACGAAAAGGAAAATAAAGCAACTTGCTCTCAGAAGTGGCGAAGTGCGAAGGCACCCTACACCCACCGAAGAACGATGAAAGCCGGCGAGGAGTGGTTAGATATCTTTCAGGAATTCACTTTGATGCCGCCGACCCTCAGGGTGTCTATAGATAAGACGCTTATGTATATAAAATAGATGACGTAACATTAAGTTAATAAATGTACAATATCATAAAAAGAAATATAATAAAAAGTCACTGACGTCTTCGTGCAACATGATTATCCAGCCAGCCGAGTGCGTTAGTTTAATACAAGAGTTAATACCCTTAGGAATCTTCCGACAGATCCCAACGGATCCCTCTCATTACGTCAGATGGATCTACCCACTGAGCATAGGATATACGAGCGTTTAGAGCGTTTAGTGTCGTATGCCAATTAATGCGACGTCTAGGCTACGAGAGTCGACAGCTTGTGGGCTAAGTGGTTGTAACACGTTTAACCGGAATGTGCTCCAACTTCCCATATGAGAAGAGGGTGGCACTGACTGCTACGGGGACTGTCTGCGTATTCGCAAGGGGTTGAGTCTTGCTTGGCTGCTGCTGGCTGCTGCTGGCTGCTGCTGTTACTAGCGCTGCTCCTGGTGACGGTGGGACGAGGGTGAAGGGTAGATCTTAACGTAGCTGCTGTACGAACGAGACCGGTAGAAATGGCAGCATGCACACAGACAACTCGAGCTAGACTGGACGGCGCTGAGCTCGTCGAGTTCCTAGTAAACAAAGCTGTAACTCTCCTCGTACCAAGGAATCAATGCTTCGTTCTGACCCGGGAACAAACTCTGGTTCGATATCCATCTTCCCTTTGGATGGGCTTGCATGCCGATGCTTGAAAAATTTTGCAAGCGAACCAACGTGCATAACGATCTTCTTGGCGTTCTTCTCGACTGTCGTTTTATCGGTTCTGCTATATACGAAGGGGCCATGGGCTCTTTGGCTAAGCCAGGCACTAAAATGGCCAGGATGGAGCTATGCGAGGGAACCTGTTGGAACGTTTGGCACCGGTACCGTAGCTAATGGCTCGTAATGAAAACACCACGCCGAGCGAATAGAGCAAAAGAGGATTTGTGATTTCTGAAGCGTCATTCTGTTTTGCAACGATCGCCAACTGGAGATATATAAACGCACGATCGATATTCCACAGCGATTTACATATAGCTCGTATATGCGTACAATGTTTGCATAGTACGCTATGATAATTAATTATGGGTTCTTTATGGGATTGGCAATTCAATTTATCAAGACAACAAGATTGCATTCGCGAAGGAATATTGGTCTGAGCAAATGTATATAGCTGCATCGCAGGCTGCTTCTAAAAGTACATGAAACGTTGGCTGCCTTTCTTATTTCTCAGGGGGATCCCCCTGGTCATGCGGGATTTGGAACTCTCTTTTGAAACAGGAAAACATAAATATTTCATAGCCGCGGGGTATTCAGCGTCGCTGTGTGACGTGAACATTTTCAAAAGTTCTGAAGAGAATACTTTTTTGGTACCGATGAACTCGGTCATCCGCCAACCAATATTTTTGGTGGCTTCTCGCTTAAACTTTTGATCGTAAATGCGCACGTTGCGCGCACCGAGGAGTGTGCTGCGGCATCAGGACCCTCGAAGGATAACAGAGACAAGAGGTAGGCGAGGAAGTCCCGCGCGATTTATCCGTCCAATGAATATCCATATCCTTGCTGTGTACGTAGATCATCGTTCGCGAAGCCACTGTAGATCATTCCGAGAGACGTACCACTGGGAGAAGAAGCTACTACCACTACCACTACTGCGCTCAGCTTCCGGGTTAACGATCTTCCGGCGTAGACCGGATTTACTGTGTTACTTCTATTTCCCCCTCCATTTCCCTTTCTTCTCGCCTTACCCATTCTCTATCGTTTTTCTACTTTCTTTTAGTTTGCGCCCACTTTAGAGTTTTCATAACGCGTGTACAGTCGCGGAAGATGAAGTGGACGTCTCTGTTATAAAATGTATCTTGTCATTCTAGGTGGCCTGGATGCTCTTCGACAAGAGCGCCATTCTCACCGTGCACAATCACGTTATCACGAGGAATCCGAGGATCACGGTCTCTCACGACAAGCACAGAACTTGGTTCCTACATATCAACGACGTACAAGAAGAAGACATGGGAAAGTACATGTGCCAGATCAACACTGCCACCGCAAAAACTCAATATGGCTACCTTCACGTCGTAGGTAAGTCAAGATCTCAATCAGTACCAATAAATTGAAGGCACAATAGTTGAAACCTCACCTGTTGCACGAACCACTTGATAGTTGCCATTCGATAGTCCGTTCGCACCTTTACAACTTTCGTTCAGAATATCTCCATCGTTACACGACTTTGGTACCCGCTCGCCTCCGACTACGGAGATTTCACTGTACCCATAAATTGTCATGGGAGAAGATCCGAGGATGGACGACGTAGCTGAGATATGAAAAAGAGACAAAAATAATGAAATAAAATATATGGGATCCAGCCAGACTAAGAACGATCCGTCATGCATCGTCACGATTGTCAAGGAGCCAACCCATCCGTTTCAGAAGGTTCACTTCAGGATGAGTAAACTCGATTTCCCAGAGCTCCGGGAATCTTCTTCGGAGAAGTAAAGATCTCTGACACTCTGGTTATGCATGCTATAGGTCTTCCCTGTAGCCTATAGGTATACGCTTACCGATCCTTCTTTTTTTCCTCGTTCTCAAAGATGTCATGGGATGAAGCAAAGGGACGTAGAGAGAGGGCGTAGGAAAGATGGGTGGACGATAAAGGTAAAGTGGCCCTCGGTATAGTCGATGCGACAAAGCCTCCCCTTCTATATCCGACACTGGCTCGAAAGACGGGACAATAATAATTTAATCAGAAGAGGGTATACGGCCCTGCCAACAGAGAGAACATATTAATATCTCGAGTTTTGACATCTCACCGGCGCTGGGAGTCGGAGGAGTAATCAGAGGGCTAGATTAATTGTTTCCACGGGACTCTTGCCCTCCGCACACAAATACAAGACTCGCGCCACTCGGCACTTCGTGATAATACCAACAGCCCAACATAATACCAACACGCCATAACTCACGCGGCTAGGCCGCGGAAGTATATTGCATCACTGCTCAGCGAAAATCTATTAGATTTTCTCACCGCATATATATACACACAAACTCCACGTTCATACGTGCTGAAACCCTATATGGTTATACAGTACAGTATACTAACACATTTTACTCCCTGGCTTCTCTACCTTTTCTAACCTTCCCCATACCTTTCCCATAAGGTCTCTTAACTTTGCCCGCGTTCTACAGCTATGATCCCTTTAGCGCTGCCAGTGGCGCCGCCCTCTATTTACCGTGTCGTAAATAAGGCAAAACCGCGGGATCTCACTTTTATGCGGTTTAAAGCTGCGAATGGGCTCGGACCGCCGGAGTGGATGGAAACGGGGGATTCCCCGTAATGGGCCTCGACCTTTTCAACTTTCGATCCTCACTTCGTGCCTTCGTTTAAACTTCGTTTACAGATTGCGAAGATACAATTGCTGATCGCGAGGACGTACAAGAACATCGATTGGGAATAGCAAAAAATTCTCAAATGCCAAAAATCTCTTTGAAGAGAAAACGAAGAGCACTTTAACGCTTTTATTGAAATATATATACATTTTTCGACGCGATTCAATTAATACGTGTACATGCACGGGCAATATTAACTTTTAATTTCTGCCGAAAATTTGCACCACGTATTTAGTAGCCTATTTCTAATTCCCAAATTGTCGAGGCCTTTGTGACCCAAGGAATAACTACCGAGTGGCAATTAGTCATTTGCATATTTGGATGTGGCTCGAGAGTCGCGACAAGACTCTCGAAACACCAAAAAAAGCAATAACCGCGACCAATGAGAAAGGTTGAAAATTATTTGAGATAATTGCAGGAAGGGAATAAAGAGTGACGCCCTGTGGAAAATACTAGGTATATCTCTCGGAAAAGAGATCGTTTGGGACGTGAAACACGGAATGGGACATGGCAAAGGACGGGAATGCGGAATGGGACAGGACGAGATGGGATATACATACATGTGTATATACACAGATATACATATATATATATATACACAGAACGCTTTCACGGGTGCTTGGCAGAAATCGAATTCGCGCTACGTCGCGGATAATAGTGCAAACTGTCGCCGGAAGTGTTCTTGTGTGTGAATAATACATTTAAGATGCGACTGGCTCGTCTCTCTATTTGTATCTGTATACAGACATATATGTTTATCCCTCTCGTCTGTCTCTCGGTTCCATTAGTGGTATTTATAGAGCAGCATAATTGCGACGCGCCATTTAAAGGGACGTCGAGTGAAAATGGTCGGACTGGAAATGGAAATGGGATCGATGCATAAAATTAACGCACACGTTGTTACCGGGACGGGCAAAGGTGGCTCTCGTTGTAGTCGGTATTCGTCGCGAATGTAATGGATAACGGCATGGAAAAAGGTAATGGTTAGGGAAAATAAGAGAAAGTAACTTTACAACGGAATGAGGGATACCGAAACGTTTCTTGGAGAAGAGTGAACTCGGCAAGGGACGTCAGGAATTCGATAGCATAGAGGCAAGAATTTCTTGGGCGGATAGGATAAAGAAAGAGAGGGAGATAAGACCGAGAGTGAGAGTGAGTGAGAACGAAGAAAAGGAGAAGAAAACCAAATCAAAATCTTCGCCTCCGTTATTTTCAATGTGAATAATTTAGCTTTCTCTTACGCGACGCTCGTAAAGATCAGCAACGTTTCGCTTCAACAGTTATTCCTATTTCCTCTCCCAATAGCCCAACGACGTCTTATCCCTTTTTTTCGAAATATTCACGATACCTCACCCTCGAATTTCTAGCATCCCCATCGTCCCTCTCTGTTGCTCTCAGTCCCACCGCTCTTTCACTTGAATCTTATAGGCATTTCGTTGCTCGGTACATCAGTAGAAATAAAGTCGAGACTTCAAGTCGTTCTTTGTAAAATATAATAAAAGCGACAAAGTCCATGATAACAGCATCCTAATTAGTGCAACGGTGATCGTTCTGAGTGAAAAATATGTATACAAAGAATTTTTTCGATTTATCTCAGCCAATTTCACGGAATAGTGGAGTACCACTAGCGCCAGCTCTTCTTAGTGGTTTATACGAGTACTATTACGATAGCTGTATGCAAAGCCATACGTATAGCGACATACGAACCTTATCATTATATATATGTTTATAGAAATGTTCGAATGGTCCTGATCCGCAACTCTATTGAAGTAGTCAAGTGGCCAATTACGAGTCACGTATTTTTTTGCTTCGCGGTAGCCCATCCTCCCTTTTTTTCGAACTTTCATTCCACCCTCTAATTCCCCCACCTTTCTTCTTCTCTTCCCCCTATCCTTCATTCTACCTTCGCCACCTTTTGCCGGTATACCAGAGTTTAGGACAAGTTAACGCAACACAGCACAACACAACACGTGGCGTTCCGCCTGAATAATGCATCAACAGTCCGTTGCTGCAGTATAACAGGGCTTCCGTTCAATCTGCGCTTGCTCAACAATTCGGTAACAGTCGACATTAGCATTAATGTAGGATATCGGCGAACACCTGTGGTAATTCATAGGATTGCCCGGACGTGCGTTAACTGTAACCCCTGTAACGGTACACTTATGATTCTATCTATTTAGTAAGTGGCTTTACTCCGTGGGTTCATAGAAAAAGATCGATCGTTTTATTTCTTTACTGCTTACTTATACTATATTCGATTTAGCTGGTGGATACGCAGAAGCAGATCGATAGTTTGGCTTATTTGCTGTGTACATGTAGAATCGAGGAGGAAAGTCTTTTTCTTTGGAACGCTCGAGTAAATGTTGCATGTGCGTAGAACGAGTGTTGAAGCGTGCGTACTTCGGACCGTAAATTTAAGGATTACGAAGCTATGGTTCTGCCCAACTGTCGCTCTGGGAAAGCGTCCGTGGAGGCTGTCTAAGAGTTACGTACCGATTCACTAAGGAACGCTTTCGATTTAGTTTAAAGGGACGACTCGAGGGAGAGAACAAGAGTTATGGGCCATAAGAATCTCGACCAATCAGAGTGATTAGTTCTTGAATTTGACTATGTACGAAGCAGTCTGTCTTGGGACACCGATCTAGGTGCCTCGAGCTACCTCGCGCTCCCGTATTATCTGTTGATAGTTTTTCTAACTGTATTTCCGATATGGTATACAAAGTTCTCCCTTGTGTAGTTTTCGTTGCTCTCGCAATATCCTGAAATTCCTATCGATTTTCTGCGTTTCGGAGGTGCAGTGTTGTGCTCCAGTACAGTGTCCACCTAAACTGTCCTCTGAATACAGTTCTCGGCCTTCACGGATTAGTTGAACCAGCTCCGGCGAGGACTCCTAATTTATTAGTTGGTGGAGGGCTTTCGATTTTATAGCTCCGATTCGTTCCGTTACGTTCTCGATCAAATGCTCCCTGGTTCCTGCACTATTTACCTGATGTTTACTACGACCCTCTATCTCGATCTAGCAACCTGAGCGGCCGTGCATTTCCGTAACCGTTTGCTCCCGTTCGTGAATCCAGTTGCTTTTGCTGATTTTATGCGACCTCAAATATCCAGCAGCTACGGTTGCGTTTCTTGATTTTGCGCCTTCCCAAAAATCGACAAGCTACCGTCTTGTCTGAAAGGTTCGATAGGATAGAGTTGAGCCTGTTCCACCTCAACTCCCAGGACATACCGCCTTGTCAGGTCCCGGTGAAACGAAGATTGGCCGGTGTCCGCCTGACATGTGGATTCATGGACGAAAGGGTGGACGGCCGGACGTGACGTAGGTTAGCTCTCGGATTTTCTTTATCGGTGTCGAGTTAAAAAAATACGTACAAGATATAATATATTATAAGTCACTTTAGTTGGTAGGATCATCGAACGTTGGATTTTTAATGGTCTATTTATGAATATGTAGTGCGACCCTGTTTTACCGCGTAGAGTCTGATATCTGTGACGTGAAAAATGTCTATCATCATTTCGAAATACTCCCAGTACGTTCACTTGAGCATAATGGAGATGAACTTGAAATGCAATGACACTTTCTCGCTGGCAGATTGCAGGATTAATTCATGTTTTCTTGGTGGATTTTATCATTTATTATGATTGACGGCTAGCGTCTAATATTTAATACTTGAATTCTGTCACATTATATTTGCATGTGTCGTATAACATATATTATGTTATACGTTTATTATTCACTGTGCACTCGGGTGGTATTATGTGAATTCGTTGGAATGTCTTCTCGTGCGCTTTCGACAGTGCTGAATGGAAATTTGTTTTCCTTCGGGCGTCAATAAACCGCGTGTATATATTGAGGTCAGCTGTGCAATTTCAGTACTGACATTATTAAAAAATCTTTCCGAAATCATTATTTTGCCTCTGCATGCTGTTGATTTTGATGCGGAAATAAAAAATAATGCCATTGTTACTTTTTTTTTTAATTTGTACGAATGCACCTGTACAATCACCAGGCAAACTTTGTCGTGGCTAATAGATTGTTGCACGTATAATATGATGTATGTTACTATGGCGGACAGTTTGACGGGGGCTTTTTAATTCTCATTCTATAAAGTTTATTGTACGAATTTTGCGTTTCAAGGAACAGTATATGTTTTGTGTAATTGTCCCTAGAACAAAGTTCCTTGTTGAATCGTTTCGTTCGATCTCGAGAAATTTCGTGAAAGTCAAAGTGGTAATTGCACCTTGACATAGGATCCTATCATTAGTTCTCGAGTTCGTGTCTCGACGTGCCTTAACGACGTTATACTTTGAGGCTAGTGCATCGAAATGTGATGTGAATGGAATCGGCAATAATAATAAATTCCGTCCTATATTCCTCATGTAAAGTAAAACAGTAATGAGCATGCTGGAAATGCGATGAATGAATGAAGCAAGATTTTCTATCGCGAGGGAATGAAATAAGGCCAATGAATAGGAAGATAGTATAATATTATTTTCACCTTATACAGAACACGGTACACTCATCGGAGAAACATTCACTTTATACTTCTCTATACTCAAAGAATTCTATATAATAATCTTCCCTAGATTTCATGTCCAATCCAAAAGGCACATAGACAGTATTATCGATCTTTTTTTTTATTACGGTACTTTAAACTCAAAACCAACTGTATTAGAGAGTTGTAAATATTTCGGATCTTCCTTCAGAGTGTCGAAAATTCTTAATGCGCGAAATTCCGCTTCGCTCTTCAAATTCCACGTGCTTTATTAACACGTGACCTGTAACAGGTACCAGTCATAACATACAGACAATTCTAATCACGAGGTCGAAGAACTTTTAAACCTGGATTGTCTGTAATTTTCTATAGCATTGCATCGCCCAACTGTACAGATACATATTACAAATGTCTTGGACAAAATATTTGCTTCTCATAAGTGGCAGCTGTATTTGTTCTTGATTGTTACGTAAGGACGAGGTGGCGATCGGACTATTCTTTTACTACTTACATAAATGTGAAATCAAGAATATTACTCTACGAATATGAATAATGACATTGGGATGAGCTGAAAGGTAAGGATCGTAATGGGAATGGTGAAGATCGATTTTAATGAGAGTTAAGATGTTTTATTAGCAAGGGACATAAAAGCAAAACTAGGTTACGGACGTCCCACTGTTCAACGATTGAACTAACTCTAGCCTATCTTCTAATACAAAGTCGTACCCAAAATCCCTCAAGTCTGTTTTACATCCATCCATACTTCCATTCCTTCCTTTTCCTTGGGACTTTACTGACTCCGGGCAACCTGAGCCATCGCGACAGTCAACTACTTGTTCGAGCGATTCTAATCCTTCAATTTACGGTCTCAAGTATACACGCTTCAATACTTGTTCTGCGCACATGCACTCTTACTCAAGCGTTTCAAAGAAAGACTTTTGTCTCCATTCTACATAAATTTGTCTCTCGTGCAGGTAAACTGTATAGCAATGCAAAATCAGACATTTCTTTCGCAACGATGTCTCTTATCATCGGTGATCACGAGTTTTTAAAGGAGATCTTCTCGGCCTTATCCACGAGCCGTTCTACGACTTCCCTTCCTTTCCTCTTCTATTTCTCCCTGGTCTCACCTCCTCCCCCTTTCACACCCTCCAACTACCTTTGCACCCTCTTCCGAATATTTCCACTATTACAACTAAATTCTTTCTCTCGCGTACGTGAAATTGATTTGCATCTGAAAGAATGTTACACGTGTGCCCATCATTCTGCCGTCACCATCCCCTCTTCCCCTCTCCTATCAGTCACTCACTCACCCTCTACCCTTATAATACCACCTTCTCTATATATAGAGTACCAGCTACCACTCAGTTTCGCTTCTTTTCAATAAGGAAGAGAGTCAGTCTCACCCTTGTCATAAGACCCTTGCTTCTCCATCCCTTTGAGATGCTGATCATATTTTTTTTATTAATTCATAGTACTCTGTGTTTCTGTTATGACAGTTCCCCCGGACATTGATGACTCGCAGAGCTCCTCGGATGCCATTGTTCGAGAAGGTGCAAATTTGAGTCTCACCTGTAAAGCTAAGGGAAGTCCCACCCCCAGTATACGCTGGAAGAGGGATGATGGCTCCAAAATCTCCATCAACAAGAGCCTGTCAGGTAAGACTCCCATAAATTTTATTTTTACATTTCGTTCCAAAGAGACGATTCTTAAGGGCTGAGCTTACTTATTGAATATCTTTAGTGATCGAATTCGAGGGCGATACTCTGGAAATGTCACGGATCTCGAGATTAGATATGGGCTCTTATCTTTGCATCGCTAGTAACGGGATACCACCTACGGTCAGCAAGCAGATAAAAGTGTCAGTCGACTGTAAGTATCAATAATTTATGCATATTGACAAAATTATCAATTTTGAAAAATATTTTAGATAAATTATTAATTCCAATTAGGAATGCATCGGATGCTGGAATATAAGTTTAACATGGAATTTTATATGAAAATAATACAACATTCGATGCAACAAGTTTAACGTTATTATCGATATCAACAAAATATTTGTACAAGATGAGATGGTTATCATTGTTATTAATTATTAAAATTTGAACATTGCATACGAAATTGATGATAATTTCATCAAATTAGATATCACGATGGTGAACTGTGAATTTTATAGGAAAAATATGAACTCGTATTGCATATTGACGAGATCATCATTAAATACATTGCTTACATTAGGTGCATATACCTTTTCCACCTAATTTACGTGAATCTTAACACATTGTTGACCGGCCACGAGTTAACTCGTGTTTGCACTTGCATTAGCTATTTCACTTTCAAATTCAATTACAAAATAATAGCCGGTGATACGAGATAGTTTCTGGGTAAAATTGCCGGTGAACAATGTGTTCAATTGATCTGATTGCACGTTACGTCTGAGTGAAAATCGTTTAGATACGTAAAATCTATTCAAATTTTTACTGTATGTAGATGTTCTGACATCTAGATTGCTCCAGACATCTAATTATTAATAAGCTAATAGGAATTGCACTCGAGGTATTTCGAGCGAAAATGTCGGATTTTTGCGGGTGTCTAAGCGGGGTGCCTAAGGTTATCGTGCATATAAAGCTGTACTGTCGTAAAACGACTTTAGGTTTTTATTTAACTCTGTGATGTATAAAATATAGAAAATTTGAAAGTTGTATATAATTTTTCAATTTTCGATGCTTTTTTTCTCCAAAAAACAACACAGTTGATAATGTACAGTGTTTCCAGCTGTCCTGGAAAACGGCATTATTTTAATACACGTATAAGATCAAACTTGTTTACGCGTATTTCGATAACATTTTCATGCGAAAACTTGAGTGACTTCATTTTTTTTACGCGATGCTTAATCTCTGAAATTACATCTCCATACTTAATATCTGCAATTAAGATCTCTGAAATCTCCTGAATCTATTGCATATGTTATACCTAAGACGCAGACGGGAGCTTTTTCCATATGCTTCTCTACAAATATTTCATTTTTTATAGTCACAATCATTGTAAACTTTGTAACCGAGCCTAAATTTTTTGAAACGCTATGCTAAACGCTATGCTAACGGCGAAAATGCATTACGAGGACAGGTTAGAAATTCAGAATTGGTGGCTGAGAGACCTAATGAAATGTTAAGGGTTGCTGAGGGTGAGAAACAGACAATTTAATAATGGGGAAAGGCGTCGAACGACAAAGCAAGGTCTTTGTGACGATGCTGTCCTTCTCGCTCAGGCTGACTGAAATGAGATCCCGAGAAATGGAAGGAGGGTAAAATAAAAGGGGATTGCGCGCGTACGAGCGCGTATATGTGTGACGGGAAGAAAAAGAGTAGCGCGAAAGTCTGTAACGGTAGGAAAAACAGCCCCTTGCGAGACATAAAAGTAAGCCCAAGCGAACCGCAACGTAAATATCACCACTTCCACCACGGCTCCTTGTCTAACGCAACAATAGTAATACCTGCTTTTCTAAATGACACGTAATTATTATTTTTTTCTATTTTGTTACCCTGTACCCGCATAATCCCACAAGGTGGAATATATGTAAGTGTCAACTTCATGGAATCGAGCGAAATGTGTCGATGTATGCATGACTTACTTTCTTTTTAATGCCCCGTACATTACACGCATTCGTAATTCGCAAAAATTTTCACCTCGTGTCAAACGGAAGTTTTCCACTCGACTCGTGTAAAAAATATATATAACGAGTTCGTTAACGATAATTATTAACTGTTACGTTCTCAAATCTTCCATTACGTATTGCTGACCTGTATTTTTATGATGGCCTCTTTGGGCCCTCCTGACCATTTGACGTTGGCATAAATCGTGGATAAACTTGCCCGTGGGAGAGAAGCGGCGAATATGACCCAACTAAGGGAAATTCTCATTTGTAAAGTGAATAATTGATAAATCGTGTTTTCATCGCCAATTAATAGTAAAGGAACGTCTTAGCTTAAGTTTTACACGCTTTTAAAATTAATTTCATAACTAAAATATGACAATCATTGACTTTGCCGACGAGTACATTGCGCCACATTAGACGCCCTTTTTGCTAATGTGGCGCACAGTGTGTTTCAAATAGGAAATATTCTTTAAAAGGAATTTTTTGGTATTTCTTGGTTGAAGTTTAAATTGAAAGGCAATAACGAAGTATAGATGTATGAATAAATTCAACATAAAGTTTAAGCGATGATCTGAAGAAATAGTATTATTGAATATCACTTATTAGGCTAAGTTTGCTGTCGAGTAGAATATCATGGACAATAGCTTCTCGATATAATAAATTAATGATTCAATTGCAAAAACAACTCTTTTACCTCTTACTTTCACATATATTATTTAATAATAATATAAAAGCAATTATAAATTTAAAAAAAGAAATGAAGGATTCTAAAAAACACGTTAAAAATATTCTCCAGTTGTAAAATGCATTAAATACTATTCCCTTTTATGTAGTAAATTTAGCCATAAGATAAAACTTACTTCTCATGATAAAATAATTAAGAACCATGTTACTTTAAATTTTCACTCTGTGATCAGTTTATACATAAATGAATTCAGTAAAAAGTTATGTATACATTCCTTAGAAACGTTATACGAAAATAAGCGTGCGCCACATTAACGAACGCGTCACGTTAGACGCCTGTCCCCTAATAGCGTAATGATCTTCCAAAAGGTAACGAGTTATATGGATAGTCATTAAATTTTAATTGATAAATTAACAAATGCCTTTTGACCCGTGAGACTCATAATGTCAAGATCGCGCACGGCACAGGCAGGAGGGTAATACGTAATTCCCGAGTAATGAGCACGTGCTGCAATTTCCAATTGAAAATTTTTGTACCATTCTGAAAGAATAAATACGTCGTGTGTAGCGATACGTTTTCAAATAGAAGCAGAAAATGTATGACTGCGTATTATCTGAACGCTAATATCCCTAATGAGTATCGTTTCTATTGAACAGATGTACACCCCTAATGGAGTTTACTTTTCTGCGTTGATAGTTAAATTTGTTAAATTTATTGCTAATTTTAATGCGAACGGTAACGTCGTGCTCTCGTTAACCGGCAATTAAATTTCTGCACGCTTTAGAATCGTAGCCACGTAATACCAACTGGAGAACCGCACTAATTTGTTATTCCATGCGGCGGTCCAGACCTTTATTATTATTTTTCATTTTTCTCAGAGACAAGAACCCTAGCAAGGGTTGCGATTCAATGTGCTGAAAGGGCGGACAGGCATGTCACAATAAAAATGAATTATCAAATTAATACGAAACATTTCGGACGCCTTATAAATCTATTTATATCTTTTTTTTTTTAATATTTTTTTTCTCTCTCTATAACTTTCTCTCTTTCTCTCTCAGCATGATCCGAGCGAAGATTAATTAAACGCTCGGACAGATTACACCCACCCTCCCGTCACCCTCATCTGATGACATTACAACTTTACGAGCTGAAAAACTCCAGCATCCCGCGAACGTGGTCGCACGGTGATTGTTATAAAGCCCTCGTCAAATACTTCGCCGCTGTAGTTTTCTCGTAAAACATTTTCATTCCATGTAGCGCATTTTAACGCTGCCTCCCTGGTCTCGGCAGGTGGGCAATGAGCGTATCTGATGATCGAAGGAGCTAGAATGAAATATCCCTATAAACGTTATGAAAATTGACTTACATTCAGAATCAGGTGAATTTGTCATTCCGAGCAAATAAGGGGAAAAAATCAGAGACTTTCAACAACCACTGGAACATCTATTGACCCTTAATGTAAATCTCATGAATTGCGTTAATGAGATGCAAAATTACCTCGCAAAGTAATATATACCTAATAAAAAAAATATGTATATATAAAAGCTTCACGAACAAGAATTCTAAGTGAAACATCCTCGTTTGGCGACATTGTCATGCGCCTCGAACGAATAAATTTCTCAGCAACACTCGGCTAACTTTTCGCATTGAAAAAGAGAGCAAACGAGATGGGAGGTGAGAAAGAAGAAAAAGAAAATTAGGGAAGGCAAAAAAGGTAGCGTACTGCCAGAGAGACGCTGTAAGCACTGGGGAATCGTACGGATCGTAGAAGATTAGCACTAGGTCCCTATTTCTCCCTGCCCTCGTAAGAGCGTCGCGGCGCCTTCGCACCTCCAGGTCGTACGCGTAGGTCCGGTAATTTCATTTCAAGTTTGCAGGTGGCTTAATTTTTGCCATAACACGTTCGTCGGTGCGCGGCAGGCGCAGGCCGGAGCTAGGAGATACGGCACGGATTTTTCTCGTTGCTGATTTTAATAACAGATTGCTACTGAAGCTGGTACCGAGAGGGTAGCTTGAGTCACTGCTTATACGTGACTCTGACTACCAGTATCCCTTGACACTGCACTCCCTATGTTCCGTTCACACCGATACACCGACCCTGGCCCGTTCGAATAAATTAAAGCGATTCCTCGAGCACGTCCTATCCGTCCTGTGCGCGAATACGACCCGTGTGAACGGAGCAGAATTTCTTAATTTTCCGAGATTCCCAAAGAGCAGTAAAAGAAAATACAGCTAATGTGAAAAAGAGAGAATTGGTTTGGGGGATGGATTAAGCATACTGGTCGAGGGGTGTAAAACTGGGGGATTGGTCCTCGTGTAAGTCGACTCTGGCGTAGCTCCGCAGGATCAAAGTCCTTGGAGGATCGTTCCTCTCTGACGATAAGATAGGCATGACTCGACGCGTTGGCATAATTGGAATGAAGGCCCGACGCCATTTCTTGCTATCTAGACGATATCTTCTATAGGTGGAATACAGATCGCAATCAAGATTCAGAACTGCTACAGACTATAAAAGGAACAGCTGAGCCTTAT